AGTTTATTCCGTATCTTGAAAAGAAATAGTAAGTCACCTTTTTAAATGCTCAAAGAATATTTTTTAAATACTTAGGATCCAAGTTGCTCTGGAAGCTACAATCCTGGTTAGGAGTACAGAGATTAGAGAGACTGGGCTGGAAGTGATAGAAACATTTTAATTAAAATAAAGCTCAGTGTTAAACAACGATGGGACTTTGATAGATGGCACACTGCCCAATCAAAGGCAAAGAATTTCATATATATGAAGGGGAAGGTAAGAAGGGTAAAACCAAAACCATTTAACGCTAGAATAATTATCACAATCATCAGCTGTGTGGTGAAGAGAAGAGGGAGACTGAAAATATACAAACATACACAGTACCCCTAGTGTGGAGTAAATAGATACTTCTAAAGAAATCAAGAGATGAAGACTAAGAAAGGTAAGAATATAAAGGTAACCAAGAAAAAGAAAAAATATAAACTTGGAAGTTTTCAGAATGAAAGACATACACTCAAAACAAAGAAATAAAAGATCCTATCACAAAAGATAAAAAAAGATGAGGAAGAATTTAAAACAGACCACATAATATTAAATGAAAGAACCAATACCAACTATAAAGATCAATAAATGCACCTGGAATAAAAATAACTGTTAAAAGGACTATGAAAAGCTCACACAGAAAATTCTCCAACCCAGACCTCCTGAATCAGAAAAGATGGGGCCCAACCACCCATATCTAACAGGTGCCCCAGGTGATTCTGATGCATGCTAACGTTTAACTGATATGGCAAAAATCCACCTAAAAACTCTTTCTCTATAACACAAACACTTTAAACAATGTATAAGAAATGTTGAAAATAAAGAATAAAAATACAGAAGATAACCATTTAACCTTAAAACTACAGAAATCCTAGACAGAAGACTACCTCTCTCAACCTGTGAAATTAAATCCATAAAACACAAGAACATATAAAATATAGGAACATAAAATAAAAATACATACTTATTTATAACATAGAGCTCATCAGTTTATTCTGTATCTTGAAAATAAATAGTAAGTCACCTTTTTAAATGCTCAAAGAATATTTTTTAAAATCAACCCATATAGTAGGCCTAAAAAAACCCCAAATATTCCAGAAGGTAGAAAAGACACAGAATACTGTGCCTAAAAAATAAAAAAGACACAAACTAAAAAACCAAAAATCTTCACTTGTAAATTTCAAAATCTACTGGCTTGAACAATCTCTGGTCCAAGAGAAAATTAAAAATAAATTGCAGAGTATTCAGAAATATTATTCAGAAAAAAATGCTTAGAGAAGTTTTAGCATAAATGTTTACATTATTTTGACAAGAAATAATAAAGTAAGCATTCAAACTAATGATTTATGAATAAGTAAACATAAGAAAAACAAAAATTAGTGAAGATAAAAGAAATTATTACAAAGAGAAAAACAAATAATAAATTCATGAGTTGCCACTTAGGGAAAAGCTAAATGGAATAAAAGCAAAATCATAAAAATAAAAAATGACCATTTGGAAATAACCACAGGCAAATAAAGACTGTAGAGACCATTTTGCTCAACCCGATTCAAATAAATTTGTAAACACAGCAAGTAAGTTTGTAAATATCTATCAAATATACCTGGAAAATGGAGACTAGAAAAGACAGAAAATTTAAACAGAGAAATAAATATAGAAAAAAAATAGAAACAATTCTTAAGATCACCCTAAAGCCCAAGGCATAGATGGCTTAACATATGTGTTTTAGTAAACATTTAAATTACAGTAATACTATAAATTTAAAAACTTCCAATTAATTCTTAAATTCATTAAATTTGCAAGATTATGATGATCATTACTAAAGGTACTATAATATACCAAAAGAAAATGCAAAAATTACATCTCCTTGTTAATTAAAGCCCCTGTAGTTTTATAGCTTACCACAACATACACATACTTATCAAAACTGAATTTTTTATACTGTAAAATGACAGTTCTGAACTGAACATCATCTGAATACCGGGCAAAATGATCCTTTTAACAGCCATTTGTTTTGTCACTTAAAAAACATTTTCAAATTATAAATCAAAATGCTCTAATGCTAAGCAAAGACCTTTGTGTTATTATGTCTTGAGTTGCAAGCGAGATTCTATGGCCTACAAGGCCTAAAATATTCACTATCTGGACCTTTACAGAAAAAGCTTACTGAAGCCCCTGCCCTAGAGAGGTGACTCCTTCCTCTTCCACATGGATGGAACCAGGATACCATGTTAAACCAGCTTCAACCTGGAAGAAATCTGGATCTTTAAAGAGCCAAAAAGACTAAAGCTACCATGCAAATATTGATTACTCACCATGCAACACCAAATCTAAGCTGTAAAAACAATACAATTGAGACTGCAGATGAAGCTGGCATCCAGAATAGAGATTAGATGGCAACAAGTCTTCAGGTTTAGAGAAAAGAAGAGCACTGATCGAGGAAGAGTATTTGGAAATGTTATGCAGGCACCTAAAGACTATCACTCCAAAAGCCAAGGGCTGATAAAATCTCAAAAAAAATTTCAAAGATTGCAAAAGCCAAGGGCTGATAAAATTCCAAAAAATTTCAGAGATTGCAAATTCAATGCATAACTCTAATGAGCCTTTATCCCATTCATACCTGCTAGGTTCTTTCTTACTCAGCTGGAGAGCACCTCCTTTACATTTCTTCCTTAATCATCCATTGCTCTTCTGGCTTAAATTGGTGACTTTAAACTTCTAATACTGACACAGGACTTGTACAATACTGTTGAGGGTCAAAGCAGCATCCTGGTATTCAAACTGAGCCCTTAGAGCCCTCAGATTTTGAAGAATAGGAAAGGGCAGCTCCTTGGAATGCATAAGGAAACTACCTGTGAAAAAGAACAAAGTAATGATCACCCTTAGGCTTGGAAGCTCAAGTACACAAATACTTGTCTGCACAAGGGCAAAAGAGTATTTGTACTTTGCATCTCAGGCCAAATCCATTATGCCATTTAAATGCTCCACACATTTCAGAAGTAGGAAACAGAAGGCACCTTATTTTGAGAATTTAGATTATACAGAGAGCAACTGTGAGACTGAGTTGTTAAGAGTTTTCCAGAATCACAACCTCTACAGGTTCCTTTCAGCAGGGGTGTGACAGATAAAAAGGTCAAACTTACTCAGCTCTTCCCATACACAGATGTAAGAGGCTTAGAATCTGGCTGAACGGTGCTGTGAATTAATGAAACAGGTAATACAAAAAGGCAGAATGGATGTAGGCAGACTGCAGGAGGAAGGAGACATCAGTATGATATTTTGGATATAAAGAGTTTGAAGTTCCTGTGCAACCTCCCCATGAAGCTGTCCATTTGGATATAGGAATGATGAGTTCAGGACAAGCCTCAAGTAGGAATGGACACTTGTGAGTCATCTGTGTCAGCTGAAGTCATAGCAGTGGTATTTTTTTGTTCAGAGATTAGAGGTAAAAGAAAAATATGATCAAAATCAGAAACTCAGGAACACTCATAGTTAAGCAGAGACATAAATCGCTAGTGGTGGTTTTTTTTTTGTTGTTGGGGGTGGATGGGTGGGAGGGTGTTCCACAGTTTTGATGGGAATTTAAAAAAATGAGAGTATAATCATGGAAGTGAAAGAAACATTCAACAGAATGAGGCAGTGAGAAACATCTGAAAAGGAATGGAGTGACAAAGAAATCTTAATTCCTCCATCCCAGTTAAAAATGGAAATGTACAAAACAAATAAAAGGTGATTCTTACGTCTGCCCCAGCTGCTGCATCTCCTTCCCAAGGCAGTTTTTATTTTGTGTGGATGTCAAAAGTTTCTTAATGCCACTACAAATACACATACCCACTTATTCAAAAATGTAGTATATTGCAGCAAATGTGCACCTTGCATTCTTCATGTTAACAAGTATCTTGCTGACTTTTAATATCTAACATATGATATATATATTTCCATTTGCTCAAATCTTTTGGGTCCTTAATTAACATTTAAAAATAACATTCATTTAGTTTTATGCAGTTCATGTTTATGTTTTATCTGATTTGTCGTTTTAAGTAAAATGCTGTCTTCTCTACAACTATGATTACTTTTTGTATATATCAAAGCTGTTATTTCTGCATATGAATTTATGTACTATTTTATTCAAATACATTTCTGTGATAGAATATTAGAAGAAAGTGTCTTTGTAGATAGAAGATAATTTATTTCACATTTACCAAGGCCATTTAGTCTGGAGAAAATCTGTCAACTTAGAAGTCAGATTGCCATGCTCATTGACAAACTAGGGAACCTTAAATCGGTTACTTGATCTCTCTGCACCAATGAAAGGACATGCTTCCCAATTCTGTGCTGTCTGCACTACTGCCAACAACCTTTTAAATCTATTTCTGGGTTCGGGGCTTCTCAAAGCCAACTTCGCCTAAGTTCTCCAAAGAATTAAGGAAAGTCAATACCTATGGTTAGTCTAGACACCAAATAACAAGTTTTTCGATGTATTTTATCGTACAAAAAAACATGCTGATTTTGTTTTCTAAATCAGTCTTTTACATTAAATTCGCTTTAAAAACTACCTGTCGCTCAATTGTTTAGCCTTTACCCTTATCTTTCGGAAAAACGGATGCTCCAGAAAGATGCACAATTATCATTATTTAGAGGTTACTACGACACAAAGCTCACAATGCCATCCACCTTCACAAACCTGGAACAACACAGCTTCTCAAACAGGTTGTAACTATACAACCTTCTCACACCCTAGGCAACCAGCCAGCAAACCCACCAGTTTCCTGGGCCCCTACCCCCATTTCAGATAAGCTTTGAACAGTGTACGTCGTAAGAGGCGATTCTTCTCCTTCAGCCTCTCCAGCCCTGTCGCGGGCTCCGCGAATCCTTCCCTACAGCCTCCCTGGTCGGATTCGGAGCTCAGAACCCAGGTCCCAACCTAGGCCGGCGCTTCGCGGAGCTGAAACCACACTCACCAGCGGACAAAGACTACGATGGCGGGACAGAAGGCCTGCGCCTGCGCACTCCGTGAGCTTGGCTTGCACTCCCAGAGAGCTACTGGGCGCCAAGCCCGGGGTCAGCACCCGACGGGATCAGTCGGTATTGGCCGGTCTACCACCTTCTTTCCGTGGACTACATTTCCCAGAAGTCCCAGTGACTCCAGTCAGCTTTTGGCGCGTTCTTTGTCTCCGCCGGAGCTCGTGAGACTGTCTCACTGGTTGGGGGAGCTGTGTAAGTAGGTCGAGTCTCCTCTAAGAACTTGTTAACTCTTATTTCTGGAAGAAGGCAGTGGTGTGCCTTGGGATATAACAAACCCAGCTCAAGCATGCCGGGCTGACCAAGTAGGAGCCGGGGTCGGAGGCTATCCCGGGAAACCGGAGGGCTGCCGTGCGCTGTTGGAGGCTGGGGGAGGGTAAGGGCGGGATCTCGGGCGCAGCTACAGCCGGACGCCATCTTGCCCATCGCGAGTGCCCCCGAACTACATTTCCCAGAAAGGGCTGCGTCCCCTTGTCCTCCCCACAGCGGGGGAGCTGGCTCAGAGCAGAGCTGTCACTGGACCCAGTTAGTGGCCTGCGTACTGTTCCACCCAGCGAGATTTGAGTTGCACTTACTGTCGGAATGGGCTGAGGTGGGGCTGTTGTGAAATTGGGTGACTGTACCCCTGGTGTATGTGTGATTTGTAACTGTGTGTGCTACGGTTGGGTGCATATGTGAGGAGCTTTATGCGGGTGTGACTGGGTCCCCATGGTGTACTGTTCATGTGTGACTGTGTATAGGTGTGGGTTACCTGTAACTGTCTCTGTGGTGGGTATGTGGTAGTGTTGTATGACCTTGTGTTCCTCTTTGGGTGCAGGTATAGGGAAATTTGTGACTGTTTCTATGACTGCAGCACTGTGGGGAAGGGATGGAGAGTGTAACAGTGTTACTTTGTGTCAAGCGGTGGGTGTGCAGCACTCTGTGGAGTGGGGGGGGGGGGGGGGGGGGGGGGAGTGTCGTACACAGTCACACAAGGGAGCACAGGACTGCTCTAACTCTTGAGAAGTAAAGACCCTGACTCTTCTCTATGACACTGAGGTTGAATTGGAAACCTCATTCTCTTCTGATAGTGCCCCCTTGGTGGGGGAGGCTAAAGGGGAACATGATGACCTTGCCCTTGGGCCCCAATAAAGGTCTGTTGTCTCCTTCCCCATCTCCATCCTTTCTCAAGAGAGATCTGCAGAAAAGGAAATAATGGTTGTGACATCTAAAAGCCGTGTTCAATGTGCTCTGGTATTTTTCTTTTTCTGATGTTTTATTTTTTTTCAGGTTGTGATTATTTTTTTCTTTCTTGGCAAATGCCTAACAAAAGCCAATCAAATAACCTGGAATCTACTGTAGGCGTACCTCTTTTACACCCTTCCCAAGTATTTCCTTTTCTATACATTGAAGGTTTGTGGGCAACCCTGTTTAAAGCAAGTCTTATCTGTTCCATTTTTCCAATGGCATTTACTCACTTCTTGTCTCTTATCACGTTTTAGTAATTCTTGCAATGTTTCAAACTTTTTCACCACTATTATATTTGTGATGGTGATCTGTGATCACTGATGATTTACTGAAATCTCAGATGATGTGTAGCATCTTTTAGAAGTAAATTTTATAAATTAAGGTATGTGTTGTGAAAATTAATAAAGGGAAACCTCACTAATATGGCATTGGGAAGCCAGCAGGGGGAGGGAGCTCTTACACCCACCACTCAGAAATCTCAGACCCCAGGGAAGAGACAGATGCCATACTGTTTTAGCTACTTTGCTAATCAGCAAGATAAAGGTTTCTGCCTTCCACTTCTGGGACTCTAAATTTACTGCTGTGGACTTTTGCTTCTAACAGTTCTCCCAGTTTGGCCATTTCCTCTGTAAGAGTGTTCCTCTCCTTTGTTCAGTGGACATGCCTATGGTTTTGCTGTATTGTAGCCACCATGTATCAGATGCAATTCTCTGCTATTCCCTAAAAACACTTATTTTTTCTTTTACCGCTAAAATAGCTGTTTTATTCTCAAGGTTAATATTACATGGGGTCAGGAGTGGGATCCAGAGAAGACCCCAACAACTTCAAGGCTGGTGAGCAAACAGGTGCCAGTACCCATGGAGCCCATTGACCTCACTGCTTTCTCGATGACCCTAGAATTTGAGGGTACGTTTCTCTTGGATTTTGAGCTCCACCGTCTTTGCATTTTTGAGCTCTTCAGGCTTTATTTGGGATCTGCTCAAAGGCCTTGTCTTTTCTGAGAGAAGTCATTTGGCCTTCTAATTCTGAATTAGACTGTTCTTGAAGAAATGTACCAGCCTTCAGTCTGACTCCTGTTTGGAAGTGGACTGTTCCTTTTGGAACTGTGCTACTCTTTGGTCCATGTCCTTTCAGGACTTCCCATGAAACTGTGCTAAGCCTTCCATCCAACTCCTGTTTGGAAACAGACTGTTCCTGTTGGATGGAACTGTGCTGGCCTTTGGTCCATACATATCTTTTTGTTGCCAGACAGCTGCATCTGGGGAGGTCTCACCCTGTGCACTAGGTGAAACACTAGGAGAAACCTGAACCTGGATGGGGGAGGGTTCTCGACTCTGAATGAGAAAGAATTCTTGAGCAGGTCAGAAGAGTGTAGGTAAAGAAGGAATTCATTAGAGTGAGAGCAGCAGGGAATGGCAGCTGTCTTGCAGGTAGAAGAGAACAGGAAAGTGCAGAGGGAAAAAAGTTCGTGGCCTAGGGCAGATTCCCTTGCCAACTCCTGAAGCCAGGGTCACCTGGGGTCCTGTGTCTGCTTGGATCTGCATGGCATGGGGACTAGTCCCTACCACCCCGGGACTTGGGGGAACCACAGAACACAGGATGGAGTGAGATTATATTCTGAGAACTTCCCAAAGAAAGGAGATTTTCAGACAGGCTACTAAGAGCAGATTGCATAAGCAGCAGTTTTGTCCAGGTCACCCAGGTGCCAGAAACATGCAAGTCCAAATCTGAGCTCTTAGCAGCCCCCTTCCTACTTATTATGAATAAAGTGGAGAGAGAGTGAAGACTTGGAAATAAAATGAAATAACAAAGAGACAAACTGTAATAATTTGGACTGTGAGAAAGCTTTATTTGAAGTATGTGCTTAAGGAAAGTGTGGGCATTCTCAGGAGGTACACTGAAAGTTTGGGGATTCTCTTTTAAAGCTTTCAAGAATGGGGCAAAGGGAAGAGGTGGGGTTGTTGGGCATAGGCTTGACTTGTGGTCTCAAGGTGCTTATCTCTGGTGAGAGATACCATGTCTCTTTTCCTTTATTATCAGTCCTCCAGCTAATTCTGCTAAATAAGCCCAACACAAAGGATTTATTTATCCTATTCTTCTCCAGCATAGTAGTGGGGACATATCAATTAAGACTGCCTGCCCTGCCTTAAGATAGGCTGTTGGGCTATTGTCTGATTACCAGAGAATGTTAGGAATTTTACTTCTCAACATTCTGCTTTTTAAAATGGAATCTTAGCCTTAAGATGGGGTCCCTCCTGTTCCTACTATACTGTTTATATCTTGGCATTTTTCATTGTAGGCAGGAAAAATTAATTATAATGCTTTTCCTACGTCTCTGCCCTACTTCACTCCTTAGTTGGCTCAGAGTGGAATGAATTTCCAGAGTGGAAATCAATCTCTCTTTGTCTTTTTTGGCACTGCAGCTACACTCTGTGTACCCAACCCTCCTGCCTCACAACACTGAAACTGTGTAAATAGCAGGGTCTGAAATCTCAACATGTTCCTATCTCTGAATGAATTCTCTTTTGTTGAATCCCTTGAAAGGTACCCTTTTCTTCTTGGTTTCTCTGCCTTATTCATCTATTGGGCCAAGATTTCTTAAAAATATATGTACCATGTTGGAATTTATTTCTCCCAAAAGGAGGTAAAATAATTCTAGAATTTGACAGTAGTAATCAAAGTAGCCAACTAGGGTAATTAAATGAACCTTAAACATCTTTTATTTGCTCTGTCTTTTATGGCCACTACAGCTCAGTATGGGGACACTGATTATTTGTTCTTCCTGGAACAGCTACCATCCTCTCTATGGGCAAGATCTTCAGTTGATATTGGTGGGATCCATAGTGCACCTCCCATCAAGTTTCAAATAGATTCCTCAAAACCTCTCCCCAGAATTAATTAATACCATGTAGGTGACGAAGCGCTTCAAGGCATGAAGCCCATATTGGAAGATACAAGGTTCAGGGCCTTATCCCTGCATTAGTTTTTGTGATACCCCTGATTTACCTTTGAGAAAACCCAATGGCTTTTGGTTTGTCCAGGTCCTCTGAGCGTGAATAACATGTTACCCCTCCTAATTCCCATAAGCAACTGGACATCCATTCCCACTGAAAAGCGAACTTCATCTGTAATTGATCTATGTGGTGCATTTTTAGTATTCCATTTGATAAGGATAGCCAATATCTTTTTGCTTTCACTTGGAAGAATGGAAAGACACCTGCACAGTAATGCCTTGGTTTTACACACAGTCCTTACTTTCATAAACCCTGAAGGCTGATTTGGATGATACAGAGTTTATTCTACAGGCTCTGCTTTTTACAATATCAAGATAATTTGCTTCTCTGCTTCACTTCTCAAAAATCTTCATAGGAACATCATACCTGTGCACCTGTTAAAACTTTTGTCCTTTAAGGGACATAAGGTATCCAAAGAAAAATTGCTATTTTCTCAAACACAGTTTTGATACTTAGGTTTTCAGATCTTGGAATAGGACTACATTCGGATCTAGGTGAAACCCCTCACAACTGACAGATCACTTTTTTAAAAATTAATTTATTTTGTTGTCATTAATCTGCAATTACATGAAGAACATTATGTTTACTAGTCCCCCCCTTCACCAAATCCCCCCCACATACCCCATTACAGTACTGTCCATCAGCGTAGTAAGATGCTGTAGAATGACTACTTGTCTTCTCTGTGTTGCACAACCCTCCCCATGCCTCCCCCCCACATTATACATGCTAATCGTAATGCCCCCTTTCTTTTTCCCCACCCATATCCCTCCCTTTCTCCCCAGTCCCTTTCCCTTTGGTAACTGTTAGTCCATTCTTAGGTTCTATGATTCTGCTGCTGTTTTGTTCCTTCAGTCTTTCTTTGTTCCTATAGTCTTTGGGTTTGAAGTGAGTCTCTTGTAAGCAGCATAGAGATGGGTCTTGCTTTTTTATCCATTCTATTATTCTGTGTCTTTTGATTGGTGCATTCAGTCCATTTACATTTAGGGTGATTATTGAAAGATATGTACTTATTGCCATTGCAGGCTTTAGATTTGTGGTTGCCAAAGGTTCAAGGTTAGCTTCTTTAGTATCTTACTGTCTAACTTAACTCGCTTATTGAGCTATTTTAAACATTGTCTGGTCATTCTGTATTTTTCTCCCTTCTTATTCCTCTTCCTCCATTCTTTATATGTTGGTTGTTTTATTCTGTGCTCTTTTGTGCTTCCTTTAACTGCTTTTGTGGGTAGTTGATTTTATTTTTTGCCTTTAGTTAGTATTTGGTTGGTCTGCTTTCTTTGCTGTGATTTTATTTTCTCTGGTGTCATCTATTTAGTCTTAGGAGTGCTCCCATCTAGAGCAGTCCCTCTAAAATACCCTGTAGAGGTGGTTTGTGGGAGGCAAATTCCCTCAACTTTTGCTTGTCTGGGAATTGTTTAACCCCTCCTTCATATTTAAGTGATAATCATGCTGGATACAGTATTCTTGGTTCAAGGCCCTTCTCTTTCATTGCATTAGATATATCATGCCATTCTCTTCTGGCCTGTTATGTTTCTTTTGAGAAGTCTGATGATAGCCTGATGGGTTTTCCTTTGTAGGTGACCTTTTTCCTCTTCTAGCTGCCTTTAAAACTTCCTTGTCCTTGACCTTTGCCATTTTAATTATTATGTGCCTTGGTGTTGTCCTTCTTGGGTCTTTTCTGTTGGGAGTTCTGTATACTTCCAAGGTCTGATCGATTATTTCCTCCTCCAGTTTGGGGAAGTTTTCAGCAATTATTTCTTCAGATACACTTTCTATCCCTTTCTCTCTCTCTTCTTCTTCTGGTACCCCTATAATGCATATATTGTTCCTTTTGGATTGGTCACACAGTTCTCTTAATATTGTTTCATTCCTGGAGATTCTTTTATCTCTCTCTGCATCAGCTTCTATGCGTTCCTGTTCTCTGGTTTCTATTCCATCAATGGCCTCTTGCATCTTATCCATTCTGCTTATAAATCCTTCCAGAGTTTGTTTCACTTCTGTAATCTCCCTCCGGACCTCATCCCTTTGCTCTTGCATATTTCTCTGCAGCTCCATCAGCATGGTTATGAGCTTTATTTTTAATTCTTTTTCAGGAAGACTAGTTAGGTCTATCTCCTTCTCAGGGTTTGCCTCTGTGATCTTGGTCCGTATCAATTTCTTCTGCCTTTTCACGGCGATAGATATATTTGTGGGGAGCTGGCGCATGTGTTGGGTAAGAGAAAGTCCCTTCTTCCCAGTTTGTGGCCTTCCTCTCCTGGGAGAACAGTGGCCTCTAGCAGCTTGTGCTGGGCAACTGCATGCAGATGGGGCTTCTGATCTTGCCCAGCTGCTGTGGAGTTTATTTAGCTCTGCAGTTGCTGTGGGCATGGCCTGCCTCAGGCTGCTTCTCCAATATGGTGGAGCTGCGTTGGAGGGGGAACAGGCGGGAGGCTGTTTATCGTGGTGAGGGGCCTCCGAGCTGCGCTGTGGGGGTTCAGATGCCCAGAGTTCCCCAGGATTCCCTGCTGCTGGGCTAGTTGTCCCGGGGCACTTCCATCCAGCTGTGGGGTTCCTGTCTGTTTTAAGACTTTCAAAAAGCACTCGCTTTTCTTTGTCCCGGGTGCGCCGGCTGCTGGGATCCACTCACAGGTCTTACTGTCCTGTTTCCCTAGTTTCCAGCACCCCATGCATGCACTGTGTCTGTGCTCTGGTGCGGATGGCTAGGGCTGGGTGTTCAGCAGTCCTGGGCTCCCTCTCCCTCCCCACTCTGACTCCTCTCCTCCCGCCAGGAGCTGGGGTGAGGGGCGCTCGGGTCCTGCCATACCGCAGCTTGTATCTTACCCCCTTCACAAGGCGCTGGGTTCTCGCAGGTGTGGATGTAGTCTGGCTGTTGTCCTGTGTCTTCTGGTCTCTCTTTTAGGGAGAGTTGTATTTGTTGTATTTTCAAAAATGTATGTGGTTTTGGGAGGAGATTCCCACTGCTCTACTTATGCCACCATCTTGGTTCTCTCTCCTGATAGATCACCTTTTGACTCCCTGTGGCAGTTCACATGAAACTCCTCTAACCAATGCAGATGTTTCATGGTTTACTGACATTATTTATTTAAAGGATGAAAATTGTAATATTGTGCTGGCTATGTGATTGCAACTACTTTTGAAATCATTGAGGCAGTATCTCTACCTCTGGCTACTTTGGCCCAATAGCTGTGTTCTGTGCCCTTGCTCGAGCTTGTACCTTAAGCCAAGAGTAAAATTGAAAATGCTTATACTGATAATTGGTAGGTCTTTGGGGTAGCTCATGACTTAGGAATATTATAGAAACAGTGAGTTTTACTAACTTACAATGGGGATAAAATTAAAAATGGCTCCTATGTCCAAAATTTATTAGGTACCATATTTTTGCTCAGGAGTCTGTCCATTAAGTATTATGGTTCCTGGGCATTCTAGACTTGACTCCCTGGAGGCCAATGGAAGTACTTTTGTTAAAGAAGCCAATAACCGAACCACTGGTATGCTTCAAAGGGATGTTTTCCCAAATGTGAATTTGAAAAGACTAACCAGCAATGCCCAGCAGTTGGCTTCAGAAAAGGAAAAACAGTATTGGAAAAGCAATAATTGTTGGTTTGATAAAAAGAGTGAACTCTGGTTTGGACCAAATAACAACCTGGCCCTACCAGAAATTCTTAAATCCCCTCTTGTAGCTCCAGGGAGGAGAGTGTTCCTGGCCTAGGGTGAGTGCCCTGTGAATCTGATGAGTTTAAGTCAAGGTAAGAGCAGGTTGGGAGAAAGGATTTTATTTTTTAGAGTCACCGGCCAGGCTCCGGTCCATCCCTTCTGGCTGTGGCAAGCTCTCTTCTTCCCTGCCTGCCCCTTCCAGGAGGAACTCCATGGGCAGGTCTTGGTGACTGGGAGATGCCAGACTAATTACCCGGAATGGAGGGAAGGACAGAGTGGCCATTTTCTCTCCATCTCTTGCCCAGATCAACCAGAGGCTCTGAAACATCCATTGGTATGTAAATGGACTAAGACCAGGTGGGAAATTCTGGAAACTGCATTTACCCCACACCTCTACTTACCATTATATGTGCATTAAAAGTGATAGCATTCTACCCTAAGAATGCAGCACTCCAGTTTGAAAAAGAGAGATGCACCCCTATGTTTATCGCTGCACTATTTACAATAGCCAAGATATGGAAGCAACCTAAATGTTCATCAGTAGATGAATGGATAAAGAAGATGTGGTACATATACACAATGGAATATTACTCAGCCATAAGAAAAAAACAGATCCTACCATTTGCAACAACATGGATG